AAAAAAAAAAAAAAAAAAAAAAAAAAAAAAGAAGAAGAAAAAAACCCAACCCCCAACAGCCTGCTGTTTGAACCACTTTGCTTTTTCCGTTTCGTTCTTCCATCCCTGCCATGCACAGCGTCTCTGCAATGGAGACAGCACTGTGCCACTGCTGTGCCAGTGGCCGTGTCCCCAATGGGGCTGGTGGGCACTCCGTGGGCTCCCCCAGCCCTGATTCCTCCCTCCAGCCTTGTCCCATGGCACCCACCTCCCTGTGCTCCGTGGGGTGGTGCTGGGCAGGGGATGCACAGTCCCCAGAAGCCCCCCCTCTTCTGCTCTGCCCTGCCAGCACCTCCTCAGCTCTTCCGCTTGCTGGGGATGGGCTTTGCTCCCCATGCTTGTGCTTTAAACCCTTCGGCACTGGGTGCAAACCCCGTGGCTCTGGGCACAAATCCAGAGTCTTGGCCTGGTGCAGGCAGCTGCGAGCAGCCCAGAAGCAGCTCCTGATGGGCAGCATTGGTGTCTGCCAGGGAGAGCAGCAGTTCAGCCCCACAGGGACAGACACAGGACAGAGGAATGCAGGAGTTGCTTCTCTCTTGCATGGCCAGGCTCCCTTGGCTTCAGCTTTGCCTCTCTTCCCAGCTGCTTCAGTGGGGCCGGGGGCTGCCAAGGGTGCATTAACCCCAGCCCCCCTACAAATGGAGGCAAAGCATCCTGCAAGCCCTATGTTCCCCGCCCTGTGCCCCACCATCACACCCTCCAGGTTTGCTGGCCAAGAAATGTCTGTTGTTTCAGCAGCTCGCCTCGGACACGGGAGAGAAAAGTCACACGAAAGAGGACAAAAGGAAAAAGAGAATAAAAGGAATTAATAAAAAAATAATAATCCCAGTGTCCCTGGCAGCGCTGCCTGAAATCTGGCTATTTTTAGTGACATCTTGTACATATGACTGTAAAATGGTAAACCGTGTGTATTATATATTGCCTCATTATATAGTGTATATATATGTATACATATACATATATATAATATATATGAAGACTGTAAATGTTAAGACTAGTGTTCTTATTAGTATATTGCTTCACACTGAAGATTGTGTGTAACAAGCTGTTTCTAAAAGATGTTTATTTTCCTTAAGAGTAAAAAACAGGTCATTGCATTCAGAGCGTCAATAAAGATACAACGATTGTTTTGGAAGTACTCTGCGCCCTGCTCGTGGCCTGTGTTCCTCCTGCGGGCGGATGGCCAAGCGTCTCTTTGTCCCCAGGACCAAAGGTCTCATTGTGAGCTTGGGGACACAAACATGGGGTTGAGGTACATGGGGAGGTCTTGTGAATGGAGGGTGCATTTGGGGTCCCTCTGGCAGCCATTGTCCCCATCCCTGCCACTCTTGACCCCCCCCATCCTGTGTAGCCTCACGCTGAGAAGGCAGGACCCGTAGGTTATGCTCTGTGCCCCCCTCCATGTGTCAGACCCTGCACCCCCAGTCCAGCACACGACAGTATAAATAATTGGCTTTAATTCACTGTACAAAACTCTGCAACTATGAAAATACCGTTTAAAAAGGCAAGGGGGAAGTGGCGGGGGGGGATAAGGGTGAAGTGGGGCACAGCAGGGAGCTATATACAAAGTAGGGGCACAGCAAGGGGATGGGGGCACCCACCAGTCCACATCCCAACCCAGAGCCACCCCTTCTCCCAAAGCGTGTGGGGTTGGGGCTGCAGGGGGGGGGCACAGCTCCTAATGGGGGGAACGGGCAGTGCTGGGGGAGGGCAGGGGGGGCCCCTCTTTCCTACCACGGGCACCTTATGGTGCCATCTTAGCTGCCACCGCGGGGCAAACCGTCCCGCTCTCCCCTAGTGGGGACAGTGCTGAGGTGCGTCCTCCCCCCCAACCCGGTGCTGTGGGACCCACGGGGAGGAGCAGGGACACGCAGCAGGTGAGGAAGGCCCCAGCCTTGCGCTGGGGTTTTGCAGGGGGGTGGCGGGCGCTGGGAGGAGGAACCCCAGTGCCGTGCAATACTGTGACAATGTCACTAGAGGTCCCCACGTCCCGTCACCCAACTGCGCCGGCCACCGGGACAGCCAGCAGGGTGCCCACGCTGGGATGTGCCCCCAACACCCACAGCGGATGGCGACACGGGACGTCACCCCGCCGCTCCCATCCGTCACCTTAAGAACTGCACCCTGACACCATCTCATAGAGAGGGGGACACTGAGACACGCACGTCCCCACCACGCGTATGGCACGAGGGGGGGGGGCAGGTGGCACGTGCCCACATCCCTCCTCTAACCCGAGGTGACGGTGGTGCCGCTGCCCAGCTTGATGATCATCTGCTGGCAGTCGTGCAGTGTCCGCCTGTCCCCCAGCTTCTCCAGCGTACGGGCGGCCTCAGCCAACATCCCCACACGCTGCCCAGGGGCTGAGAGGAAGCTGGGGGGCAGGTAGCAGCAGGCCAGCAGCAGTGCTTCGGCGTGCTCCCGTGGCGTGGGGTGGCTCTCCGGCTCGCCGGCTGCGGGGACAGAGAGAAGGGACGGGCACTGAGCATCCCCTGTGTGCTGTGCTAGACGTGGCACTTGGGGACACGGGTCAGTGGGCACAGTGGAGATGGGTTGGCAGTTGGATTTGATGATCATAGGTCTTCCTCAACCTAAGTGATCCTGTGATTTTCCCACCCCAGAATGGATCCCTTGCCAAAACTATCCCCAGCCCTATGGGGGAGCAACTGC